TATATTACTTGTTGCTCAGTGGCACAATTGTGGAATAATCAGAACAGTACTCGCTTTATACTTTGCCTCTGACTGAGCCACTCACTGAAATTTCGGAAGATCGTATTAACGTACTCAAATTTAAGCTAAATATACTGGATTAGTGTTACGCGATAAAACAAAGTTTGCCAGATTTAAAAATTTTGCAATGTTAAAAACTTTCTACATTTTTTTAGAATCTCCAAATGTTTAAAAATTATATTTTTATAACTTGCTGCCTTCTGAGCAAAACTTTAGAGTTTATGTAAAGATGTGATTTATGAATAGTATTAATATTAAATTAAATATATAAATATTATTATTAAATTAAATAGTATTATTATATTAAATGGAATACAAAATCTTAAAAATGGTAAAACAAACCGATTTACACTTAATGGAAGAGTTATGTACAATATTTAAATACAAGATCTATATTTATATGCAACATAGACAAAGTAACTATTTGATTCATATTTCAAAAATTTAAACTTTTCAGATTCAAAAAGATAAAACTTCATAAAATTCCTCGAGATCTTTTTGAAAATGATAAATACAGTAAAGATCCTGAATCGTCCACGCCAACCATTTCAGAGGAAGACATAACAACACCTTTTGACTGGAATGACATCCACGAACGATTCTTCAAATTAAGTCCCGCCATGAAAGAAAAGATATTAAGACAAAGAAATTATGACCAAAGCCAAGAAATAACTGACATAACTGCAACATCAAACGAAATTTTCAGCAGTTCCTCCAATTTATCATCCTACAAAGAACCAAAGGAGGAAAGTGCTGTCATTCGAATAGTAACAGCAAAGAAGATATCCAGCAAATCCCTCAGTTTACCAATTTACACAGAAATGGAAAATGATGACAATAAAAGTGTAACATTAAAACAAATCTTAAGCAATTCTCCCCATTTACCATTCTACCAAGAATCAAAATATGAAAATTCTAATATTCAAATTAAAACATCAAACGAAATTTCTAGCAGTTTCTCAATTATACCACCCAGTCAATCTGAAGAGGAAAGTGCAGACTTAAAAATTGTAGCATCAAATAAAATCTCCAGTTCCTGGTTTTTACCATCCTGCCAAGAATACGGAGAAGAAAGTGCAGACTTTAAAAATTTAACATCGGACGAAATCCTCAGCAGTTCTTCCAATTTGCCATCCTACGAAGAAACAAAGGAGGAAAATGCTGAATTGGAAACATCAAAAGAAATTTTCAGCAGTTCTCCCGATTATCTAATCTATCAAGAATCAGCGGTAAAAAGTGCTGAATTCCACAATGGAACATCTAACGTGAACAGTTGGAAATATAGCGATGAAATATTTAGAGATTTTGGATCAACAGAAAACCTTGAGTTTTATTTCGAACTTGTAGCAAAAGCAAGACAGGCAGATGCAGAAATAGCAGAAAAGAAAAAGGAAAACCTATCAAGTGTTCACATTCAATCAGTTCCAATCGTAGAAGTAATCGACACGCAAGATATAAAGGATATAGAAAATAAAAGAAAAAAATCTCTGAGACGAAAGTTGAAATATTTAACAAGTTGTTTTCGATTCAAAACCAAACAAAAATAATGAATGCAAGCGTAATCAATCTTTCATGTTTTTTTCTGGTTCTATTTCATTTTATGTGTTTGAATATAAGAGCTATGTGTGCACAAGAACATGCTGTGAACCAATAACTGAGCTGAAACCTGTTAGGCTCGAAATGTGCTAAGGGTGCAAACGTCAAAGAAGAACTAAGTCATTTGAAGAGAGAGGAGAGAAATAACAATTTGAGAGAAGAAATGATGAAAGGGAAAAGAAATTAAAGATCATATATCAGGTTTGAAGATAAGTTGAATCTAAATAAGCCGGAAAATTTTAAGCGAATGAGGAATGTTTAAAAAAAAGTATTAGAAGAAAAGAAAATAAGTAAATGGATGATTTGAAGTGAATTGGAATAAAAGAAGAGAGTTTGAAGTAAAAGAAGAGATTAAGATAAAAAAAAAAAGAGAGTGACGTGCTTTTAAAAAAATAGAGCGAAACAGTGGGTCATGCATATGTCTGAAACAAAATTTATCTGGAAATTCTATGACAGCATGAAAAAACTCAAATTTTATTTTATAGGTATTTATTACCTAGCTTTTTTAATGTATCAGGTTTGAATGTACTCACATAACAGAACTTCATAGGAGCAACAGATTTAGGCATATCTTTACCTATGTTTTAAGGTATTTAATTACCTTTTAATAGAAAGTTTTCGTAATTAGGAGGAAAAAAAGCTAGTACAATGATGAATTATTTAGCTCAACTTGACTCACTGTTTAGAGAAAGAAGCATCAAACATCAGGAATAGAGAGTTGAAAATTATCATTGAAGAAACATTAGAAAGAAACATCAGATCTAGTACATAAATGAGACTCGTTTAGATTAAAGATGCATCAGGAATGCATAAATAAGTCTCGTTGGAACTGAAAAACATCAGGAAAAGAGAATTTAAACTGGTACACAGTAAAGAAAAATGATGTATTGATCAGTAAGACTAGTTGAGATTGAAAAACGCGCAAGATCAGGAATGGTACATCATGAATTGAGAAATAAAACTTCGTCAGATACGTGAAACATCAGGAATAGAGAATTAAATTTTGAACAGATTAACGAAACATCTTGAATAGATAAGTAAAACTCATTGAGAATGATGAAACCTCAAAAAAATAACATCAGGACTGATTCACCATGCATTGATAAATAAGACTCGTTTTGCTTGAGAAAACATCAAGAAGAGAGAATTAAAACTAGTACAGATTAAAGAAACGTCTTGAATGGATAAATAATGCTAGTTGTGTGAGATTGAAGAAACTTCAGTAAGAAGCATCAGGAGTGGTAAAGATTGAAGACGTTTAAAAAGATATGGAATGCTTTGAGTTTTGGTCGCAAATGCGAAGAAAATTGTCACCATGTGTTAGTAGAGAAAGTAAATGTATTTTGTGCACCTGCTAAAATCTATAAAAAAATCATATAATGGAAACGCCGCAAAAAAGTAAAAAAGAAAATCGTCTCTTGTGTTGAAAACAGTCTCGTGTCTCGGACGAAAAAAAACAAATAAGAATAAAAAGAAAAAGAAAGAAGTTTCATAAAAACAAGGAATTTTATCAAAGAAGCAAAAAAAGAACTTGAATTTCAGCTTAGATCAGATTTATATGGCTTCATATGCTAGATTAGAATATTCATTTATTATATTACATCAGATTTTACTGTTCAAATATGTTATTTAATTTTTAGGTTTAAATAAACAACTTCAAAATTCTCTCTGAATAATTTTATTTAATCATTGTTTTAGTCATTGACTTATGTAACCTATTGCAGTTTTATTATTTTGCAGCATTATACTGCATATTTACATTAATTATTTACATGTAAAATATAATAAGCATTTCCATGGTCTCTATTTCTAAATTTAGTATGGCATATTTATAAATATTACAGTATTATAATAAATCATAAATATACAGGCATTACTTTTTTACGTTTATAAGAATAATGCAGATATATAATTCATTTTTTTAAGACATTCTCGCTTTTTATAAAAAGAATTTAGATTATTCAAGCAAACGATAGTCTTGATAACTGGTAACGTAATCTAAAGTAGCTTCACGAATTTAGCATTTCATGCCTTGGTGCGATATGTTTTCATTAATTATTTACATGAATAGCGTAATTATATGCAACACATTTCTGTTATCATTATTTTCCAATTTAAATATACTTATTATAAGTAAACAAACCACAAACGAATAAGAAAATAATGAATAAGAAAATAAATAATAAAATAACATTGTGTAATAGATAGTAATATAATAAAATATGTAGTATTATAATATAATATAAAGTATTATAATATAATAATAAGTAAATATGATAAATAGTACTTCGACGTTTCTAGAAAAATGCATATAAAAATTATAACTTCCTGGATATTTTACATAAAAAGTTTTCATCTGATTTTTCATGCACGTAATTTTACAAAAACATATTAACATTTTTCTTGTTCATATTACATTTCTCTTGTTAAATATACATGAAAAAAAAATGCGTAAGATAAAATTAGGCTGGATAACTGAGAATAACTTGGAATGTGCCAATCCAATGGTTTGACCATTCTCACTTAGAAACAAAATAGTTTCTTAGAAAATTATTTTCACTCTTATTTAAAGTGATTTTAATGTGATTTTCTACGTGTATATTTACATTAATTATTTATATGCACATTATAATTATGATACTAAATATTTCCATTTCCTATTTTTCAACTTAATTTTTACTTTTTAATAAATAGTGCTCAACTGCTTTATTTTTTTGCATTACTAGAACAATGCAGGTAAACATTATTGTACTTAGTTTTAAGAACTAAAATTAGATAATAAGACTTTTATTTGAAATTTTTTATATATATGAATAAAGAACATTTACAGAAATATTTGATTTAGTTATTTATATTTATAGCACAAATTAGCTACAGCACATTTTCATCATCATTTTTCTTAACTTTTTTAGAATAGTAATCAATTGCATCATTTTTTTTTTTGAATTTCAATACTGTAAAAAATTTAGCATCTAACTGCGGAAAATGTACTGGCGCGCTGAGGGCAGCGTACGTAAAATTCATTTTTACAGTAAAATTTTATGTACTAATTTTTGTAGTATTTATTTAATTACTGTGATTCGTATGGATTTAATTACAGTGATTTGTAAGTAAATATTACAGTAAAAACTATGGTATTGCAGATTTTTTTCGTAAAATGTTACTGTAAAAATGGATTTTATGCTTAAAAGTATTGACACCCTTAGTGCCAGTACTTTTTAAGATACTTTGAAATTTTTTATTGAGTAGTATAATGCAGATAAGAATGATTATGATGTGTTTTAAGTGTGGAAATCAGAAAAATAAGTTTTCATATAAATAATATGCAATAAATTTTATCTTACCTTATTTTAAAACAGCTCAGTACATGATCCAACTTTATTATTTCATGCATTCAAGATAATTGTAATGGAACAAACTGCTGTAAGACTTAATTTAAATTACCCCCACCTTGAATAATGTTCAAAGTGAAAGCTATAATTGATAAAAAATTCCCATTGTAGATTAAACAGGTAGGGGTAATCATACGCATTTGATAAAAAATAAACCGAAAAGCCTCGTACCTTATCTGTAAGAAAAATGATAAAAAAAAATGACTGGAACTGTCAAATAAGTTTACAATCTTTCAATATAATAAGGGTCTTATTTCTAATGTAAAGCAGATAGGTTTTGACTCTGTCTCAAGTCTTCATGATTACCTTACAATCTTTTTTTGTTATTTATTAATTTTCCTTTGTTTATTTATATTTATTTATTTATTTTGCTCATACTGATTTATAAGTCGAAACTAACAAATATTAAAGTAAAAGATTCCCATTTGTTTTCTCCATTTAACACATGTTTGGTTCCACAAATAAAAGAGTTCCTTAAATAAAATTAAATTAAACAGGGAATAATGACTTTTTAAAAAAAATTTCAATAATTTTCATTGAATTTTAGTTCAGCTGACCATCTTTTTGCCACTTGGCACATCCAATACTCCACAATTTTTCGAGATTTAATTTAACCTCTTAAGGCCCATCGGCTATTATTTTGGAAGATATTTGGAATTATTTAATGTACAAAAATATACTTTTAAGAAAATATTCCGTTTGTATCCCTATACAAAAAGATTGTCAAACTAAAAATATTATTGTATATACTACCAATACATACCAACATACCAGCCAACATATGTATAGATCAACCGTATTGCCATACGTAGTACATACCAACCTATAAATATGTATATTTATAGATTTTTTATTATATATATGTATATTATATAGGTATATTATATGTATACTATAAATATGTATATTTATAGGTTGGACTGTTTAATTACAACTGAAAATTATAAAGAAGAGTTTAAAAAAAATCTATTTAAGTAACCTTTTAGAAAATTTCGTGTTCCTAATATTGGAATCTAGTGGATTTTGTTTTATAATCAAAATTTGTAGAAATACATTATACAAATATCCTACAGCATACAAAGAATGCTAAACATTAAAATTTCTGGTTTTTTTACACAGGAAATAAAAATAACTATAAAAGTTAATAAAGTTTAATTCAGTGATTCAGTTTTTAAATAAAAATATTTTAACGCATTTTTGGGTGGGTTTACCTTCTTCCAAGCTACATATTTCCAGGACTGCCAACACTCTGAGCTACAAGCATGATGCTATAGGCAGAATTTATGAAAAAAAATTTATTAACTAAATTGCTTAATACATTCTCTACATTTTTGATAGAAGTTTCAAAATTAAATGTATCACATTAATGTAAACAAAATTGGTTCATTCAGTTGGCATTTTTTGTGACATTTGTAGAAGGGTTTTTAACTTCAGGCAGTTTAAGCTTTTTTTTCTCATTCTGTGGTAGGTGGGATGATTTTCGTCCTGTAATAAATCTCTTTTGAAAGAAACCAGCTGTAAGAATTGTCAAAAGCGAGAACATCTGAGAGAAAAACAATAAACATTGGTTATGAATACACATTGGTAATATAATTTTTATTTTGTATCAGTTTACTGATTATTATATAGGCAGTTATAAGAGCAATTAGCTGAAAGTTATTTAATATGAAATAAATGTTTAAAATTTCTTATAAGTATTTAAATTTAGTTAAAGCTTTCTTTATACTTCAACAAGAGAAGTTTATTATTTTTGAGCGATGTTAACACACGGTGGAAAAAATTATGTAAAATTTTGAACAGTAAAGTTATTGTTACGTAAGGTAATGACATTTCTGATTTAAAAAAAAGCAACTCTGACAATCTAAGCAGCAATATACGGCATTTAAACCATTCATTTGGTACTTTCTTCTCTCCTATGGTAAAGGTATACCGGAAATTCGTGTTTTTAAAATTATAGTATTTATTACCACACATTTAATAAGAAATATAAAAGTCAATTTTACCGAATAAATGGTTTTTATGCCATGTTTCAAGGTTATCATGATTAAATTGCCAAATCGTATCATATTTAAAAAACTTTATCATATATTTTAAAATCATATTTTATTGTTAACTTTACCAAACTCATTACCGAACCGATTCGGCAAAAATGACTTAATTTTTTGGTAATCCCACAGAGCCATGAACATGATAAACATTTTACCACAGTCTGCGTAAATAAATTTAGCACCTTGAACAACTTTTGATCTAATGAACCTCAAATATTCTAATAAACTAAAGCAGACGATACGCTAAAATACGAAATTAGACATATAAATGTTCTTAATCTGAATAAGTGTACATTTTTTGACAAATTTGAATTTTTCATCCTCAATTATGTAGCAATTTAGAAAATATTATCCCAATACTTTGGGCAGGAGAAGCTTAATGCTTCTTTCCCGGTTCGCATATTTTGTTAAAACTCGAATTTTTTTAATGTGGATTTAAAATTTTTTGCACACAATTAGGAAGTGTGTTCATCTGAAGATAATTCCAAATAAAATAGTTTTTAATAATTATTATTTGTTTTTTATTAATTTATTTAATATAATAAATATCTGAAATTATAATTTCAAAGAAATCTTGTATTTTACAATTTGCTTCTAGAGAACTATTCAGCAGATGTTCAAATTTTATACTTCATCTTTTGAAATTACATTCTTTTAAATGTTACAAAAAGTTTTATACCTTGAAATAATTTTTTTTCGATTATTAAGGAGTAAAGTAATTAGGAATATTAACATAAACAATATTTTGCATTGTTTTTTTAGATGCACAAGTTTTAGATGTACAAGTTCTCTAGAATAATTTAATAGCTCTCATACTCATTTAAATAGTTCTCTAGATAAAGCAATATAAGCAAGAAGTTAAATTACTAGTAAGGAGTTAAAACTTTCTGCTGCTTCCTCGTCGAAACTATATAGGGTTCAACTATATTCTATATACAAACTATATAAGGACCATATAGGAGTCTTCATGATTACCTTACAATCNCTTAGGGGAAGGATAATAGTTTGAGTAATTGAGGTAAACTGCCAACCCTTCTCTTTGTTCGTCCTCCCTTTAACTGACCCCCATTTCTTTCCCCACCCAAGAATCTCTTTTTCTACTCTCCCTACCCCAAAAAAACAAGACCGTCACGAAACGACACTTGCCGTAGTTTGCTTGTAAATGTCTTTTCATGACGCTTCGGATGCAAGGGGTTAAAACATCGTCAGCTCTAAAAAAAGTATATATAAGGTATAGGGCTCTCAAACTACTGATATTGAGTCTTAGTAAGCAAAATTCAATCATTAGATTAAAAGTTAACTATCGTGCTCATTTTTTTCTTCTTTTTTAGCTCAGTACATACTTTAGATACATGTTTTTGGACAACTGGCTTCGTTGCCCAAAATAAATAATCTTGAAAAAAAAGTCACAAATTGGCTTACAGTTGAGCAGTTAAACGAGAGCAAATAAATTCTTATTGTGCATAAGATGGGTTACTTATAGCCTCCAATATGCTAAAGGTGTTTGGTTATTGCTTCCCTGAGAATATATTATTGAAATCTATGAAAAAATTTAAAAAGCATTCGCATTAGGGGCTGAAAATATTTACACCAGAAAAAACTATTGAAATCGAAAGAAAAAATCCGCCAGAGGAAGGAGTTACTGAAAACATCATATTCGTGTGATTGCCGATAGAAACAGAAAGGAGTTTTTAATAAACAAACTGCTTAGGGTGTTTTTCTTCCATCTTGCCTTTCTCATTAGCATGAATCCTAAATATTCTCTAAAAAATGCGCATTTGGGTCTCCAAATCACTGTTTCAGTGAGAAAATAAATACTAAATCTTGACCAATCACCACTGAGATAAGTACGAAAGCAAAGCAAAGATATAAATCAGCTGAAGTTTATTTAATGGTTGAAGCATAATGACGATTCTTGGTGGAAAACGAATGCATTCCAGTTAAAGTTTTACATGATTTTAATCCCTTTTTTTTTTGGAAATATGTGTTAAGGAAAACTCTAATTTCTGATATTATTTTTTACAGACCTTTTGATGTATAAATGAGAATAAAGGAAAATTGGAGCAATAAAACTTACATGATCCAGATTTTTCGCAGACATGTATTCCCGTTTCCGGTTCCCAGGTAGTTTCAATCCTTTTTTTCTGAACCAGTTCAACTAATTCACCTTCAAGCGTTTTGAAATAAATTCCAAAACTAATATCCTTGTCTGTTGTTTCGAATTCCCACATCAATGCAGAGCCAGGATCTTCAACATCAACTAAAACATCAACTTGCAAACGCCTTGATACATAAAGATATTCAACATCTTCTTCTTGTTGAATTGATTTCTTGGAGAAGTAATACTCTTTCGGTACGTTCCCTCCATGCCTTATCTAAATGTATAAACAATATTAAACAATGAAATATAAACATATATATTTTATTTTATAACCGTCGTTAAACAGCTAACCCAATTTTATGGGTTTACGACTACTAATGTTCAACTCCGTAGCCTTGTAATTTTGAAACCAATTCAGAAGACAAGGGAACTCCAGGATCGAGTGTTGGGAGAGATTTGCCTTTGTGGAGGACTTTTTGATGGAGCTAATCCGCATTTGCGTTTCTTGGAGAGGAAGACCACGAGAAACTCCCACGGTTAGCCTGACGGCAAGATGACTCTAACTCATGATTCGTCTACCACTGAGGATATTTCACGTCAGCAGTGTGTGGGCGGTGCCAGCCGGATGTGGAGTTCGTATCGACTGGGGTTCGACCCCGGTTCGCAGCATTGGAAGGCGAATACTCTATCCCCTGAGCCATCGCGGCTTTTTCCATATATATAGTCAAGACCTATATGAACTAGCTTTTATGTGAACGAAGAAAAACTTTTGCACGATTCGTTCACTGTTAGGATGAGTGATTTTTTAAGGTGATAAAAAAAATGCTTATCCATCGCAAACACCTTTTTTTTTAAATTTCTCTTTACTACGTAAGATTTTACCAACATGAAATTGAAATCATTGATCTACTGAGCCATACAATACTAAAAAACAAATACAAGGAACTTATTTTAACTTAAAATTTATCCAAATAATGTTCAGTTTTCGAATTTTTACCAAAAAGCTAAATTTCGAACTTTCATGATTTCACTGCCATATACTGACGTAAGTTTCGATCATCACATGTTGATGGACAGCTGTTTTTTGTTATGAATATAATAAAATGAAAATAATGTTCAAGATTAACTGATGTGTGTCGAATCCCCCACCTTCAATAACAGAAACAAATCCATATTAGATGACTTAAGAAAAAAGCTACAAATTTAAAACTGCTAGTAGAGACTGTTTAATACTTATTTAGAACTAAGCGTTTTAAAAGATATTCATTTTAGTTTTACATATAATCTAAGCGGTTAAACTTTCAAGAGGCTTATTGACAATAAATATTATTTCTTTTACGCTTCTCTTACTTATCATGCTGTTTTGCAAATCTCTACTTGTCAGATTTAGATTAAAACAGTGTGCATTTGCGTAAAAATTCATAAAACCTGCAAATATTATTTTGCATTCCTTGTTTGTTGAAATATCTGAAGTGGTACATATTTTTTTTTTACCAGATAGTGACACTCATCCTATTAAGATTCATTACCCCAGACAAATTTGTTCACGTTGATCAATCTAAAACGAGGTTTTCTGTTGCATGTCAAGCATTATTGCATGGATATTTGTTAATATTGTCCACAGTCTGTATCATCATAATGATGATTTAAAAAAACAAACGGAAAAAAACACTGTTTTTTAGTTTTTCCTTGCCAGAATTCTCATCTGTTGGACAGTTGATTTGTTGAGTCACATTTTTGAAATTGACACTATAAGAAACTCACATACTATTGAAAGACCATACTCACAAATGTCTTACAGAGAGGATTTCCATCGGGATCGGTTCTATTTCCGCCAAGAAATGCAGGCAAGATATCGGCATCTATTGTCTCCAGTAACGTCTCCTTCACTTTCTCTGAAATATAATATCCTACACTGAATTCTCATTTCCTCAAATACTACAAAATTGATGAAGTGCTTGCGAAGTGTATGCTAATAAAACTTTAGAAGTATGTTATGTAGATCTTAGGAGCGGAGATTCCTTCAAAAAGAATAATTTGTAACTTTGACGATAGATGGCACTCTACTGCTATTGGAAATTATATTTTCTCTAAAAATCGTGGCAAAAATTAAAGCTGATGGCATTCAAAGGTTTCTAAACCAACTCTACTAAGTGTACCTGTATGAAATTTCATAAGTATAGTAGTATACCTTCAAATTTAGGTCATAGGGTCGAGGATTTCTTCAGAAATAAATAGTTTGAAATTTTTTCAATAGATGGCACTGTACCGCTATAACAAACTGAAATGGGTAATTCGAATAATTTCTCTACAAAAGGCATGGAAGAGCACATAGTTTGATCTCCACGATAATTATACACGGTAAAAAAATATTAATATGACAAGAAGTGTACAAAAGTGATTAAAACTTAAATCCCAGATTATAATGCCATCTCGTGCATTATATTTCTTGTATGACCTGCGTGATCACCAGATATGAAATTTCCTATCTTTGCCTATGGGGTTTTCACAAAGATCATCAAAGGTATAAAGGTTTCTCAAAGATGTTTATCAAGGACGTGTCACTAAGAAAGTGAAAATAAAAGCTAGCATCTCCCTGTATGTTTCCCTCATTCTTACTGATATATCGCATGTAGAGCACGCAGGTGTTAAAAAATATAAAACATTTTGCTATTCCTTAAATTTTTAGCTGCTTTCTTTAATTTTGCTGAGTAACAGTGCCGCGTGTTAGCCAAATTTAATTTTTTTAGAGGAAAATCTCACTCTCACGATTTTGAATATCGCATATGTGAAACTCCAAGAAATAGGACCTGAGTTACGAGCCTTTGAACCGTGATATAAATTTTAACGACCTGTATACTTGTACTCTCTCAGACATTTAAGAAATTCAACCAATTGCTCATTATTGAAATGAGTTTCGAATAGAATTTATTTTCAATGCGAAAATAAATTGGCTAATGGGGTAGTATGCTTACCAGTATTTGAATTCACCTTCGAAATATGAATTCAAAATACTATATAAAATCATTAAATGTAGTCAAAATTTTAACAGTGGTTTAAATAAATTAATTCTTGTAAACTCTACGATCAAATCAGACATGTACTCCAATTTTTTTATTAAAATCTATAATATGTAAATAATAATAGTAATTAATCGGAAAAAAATTATATAACAGTTTCTTTTGGTCAAAGATATTGATTATTTGATGAAAACTCGCTAATATGAGTTTCCCGCCTTCATATAAATTCTTCGACATCTATGAAATTTGTAATTTCCTAAACAATGAAAGGTGGCAAGGAGCGTCCACATACTTTGTGAGCATTAAAAAAGAAAATGGAGGTTGTTTTGAACTCAGCTGACAAGAAAAAAGACGAGAGCTTATGTTTGATTCAAATTTCTGTTAAGCGAAAAAAACAATAACATTTTAGCTTAAAATATTACGCGAGCATAGTTGGACAAGGGGTGGTAACTCGTTTAATTCGGTTGTCTAGACGAGGTAAAGGTTTATAACAACTAAAAATAGGCTTATTAGAAAAAATCCAAAGCTAAATTTACCTGTTTCAACAATCTGAATTTTTTTCAAGAGGCCAGATGTAATAGCTAGCTTTACAATAGCGAACATAGTTGAAAAATAAGAGGGAGCTGAAAACAGATACAAATTTTACTGATCTATCCTAATTTTATCAGATTTAAACAGATTTATCTGCCATCTTCTATTTTACTTCATAACAACCCCCGTTGAACAGACGACCCAATTTTGGGTTTACGACAACCAATGTTAAAGTCCGTAGCCTTGCAATTTTGCACCTAATCCAGAAGACAACCCTTACGGAAAAATTGAGGTATGAATGAGGAATTTTTCAAAGATATAAATTATGTTATTTAATTAAGTGGTTAGTTTGAAAATGGTGTTAACGAATACTTCAAAATTTACCTCAAATATACCTCCAGATGTATATATATATATCAATTTGAGGTGTTTCATCTTACATGTGGGGAGAGGTAGATATTTACTACTTAAGGTGTTTTGTTTTCAACCTTAGATCACCCAGAAATATATTTTTTCACTTGTAAAAGTAATTAAAAAACTACATAAGGTGTTTGATTTCACACTTCAGGTTATTTGGATTTACCTCAAGTGTGTTTGTTGACAGTTGTAAAGGTAATTTTTTACTAACATGAGGTGTTTTATGTTCTACCTCAGGCTATTATATTTCAACCTCAAGTATATATTTTTTGCTCGTGGAGGTATTTTTTTTTTATTAAATCAAGGCATTTTGCACATCAAATTAAAATAGATAAAAATATAGTATTTTTCGACAGAGGGATAGGTTGTTTCTTATGAACGTGAGGTGGGTTCTAGATTGGGTTCGAAATTACAAGACAACGAAGTTTGATATTGGCATAGTCATGAACTCAAAATCGGGGCGAAAGTTCAACGACGGTTATAAAGTACAAAAAAAAGGCATACATGAAATTATTACTTAATGAGTTATATGAAAAACATACCGTTGATTACATATACTCTTTTTATATGTTCTGGATAATTGTCTTGTAAAATGCCAAACCATTCCATTTCTGTTTCCAGAGCTGAAACAAAATTAATAAATGCAGAATCTAGTTAAATATTTACTTTATCAGCTACTAGCCTGTTCACAAATGAGATAATTATTCAATTTACTATGATTATATCAGGGGTAAAATGTTATTTTTAAAATAAATTTTGTCTTTTTCTAGTTTTTAAATTTTCAGGCATTTCTTCTATCTTTTTTTTTTGAATTTTAAGGCTTTAAAGATTTTTTCTATGAGCCAAGCCTACTGGTGGGTTAAGACTTTATGTCTGAAATATCTGGAAAATGTTTTTAAAAAAATGAAGTTGTTGGACTGTATGCTATAATATTGTCAATGATTTTCCCATATTTTGTCATATTATACAAAACATATAATAAAAATTAAATTTAAGTTCTGAAAAAATTGCAAGTTTGATAATATTGCTGGGGATCTTACCTAACAAAACAATGCTACAATGGATAAACAAAAGATGCTTTAAACTTTAAATCAAGGGAATGCTACAGACATATCCGTCATTAAGAATTTGAAAATCATTATAATGGCACATAAATTTAATTTTAGTAACGCCAAAATTGGCTAATTTTAACGCCAATTTCGATATGCCAAATAAGCTCAAGTTGATGTTCTGAAATTTTATTTCATTCATGTGAATGCCGATTTCTTGGTTAACATTCTCAATTCCTTATTATCCACTTCATTTTTTATGGAAATGTAGCCTGCTCTGATTTGCCGCTTTCGGCTACTATCGTTCTCATCAGCTGCCTCAGTTTTTTTTATCTTGTTTTGTTTTTAACTTAATTTTTTTTCTTTGGTCACTTGGTTGGTTATTATTTCACAAACCATAAAGAGCACAACGTCACAAATCTGATTATTAACATATTAAGCAAAAACTAATACAGGCAGTAACAGTAATCTTATTAAATAATTTATTTTTTTAGCATTTGTATTGTTAAATGGTTTTATCATAATATAATCATATCTATCTCAGATAGAAACCTAACTACTATTAATAAAGAGAGTGCGTGACTTATAAGTGATTATAATTTCTAAAATGATTTTTCTTAATTATGTAGTACACCTCATGTGTCATGAAAAAGAACTACGGAAATAATCAGAGTAAAGTTTAAAATCATTATCAAAGTTTTATTTTAGATCCAATATGAGTATCTGAAATATGTATTTTTTCCTCCTAGATGTGAATCCACCATCTTGTTCAATATGGCGGAAAACTTAGTAAAAATATTTTCCAACCTAATGCACTAATCCTAGAAAACATGTAACCTTACGGCAATCTTGTGTCACAATTTTCATTTCAATGTCACGAAAATGTTTGCCCTAAAATCCTTTTTTCAATAAAGAAAAAATATTGCAGTTTCAAACCTTTCATCCTTAGAGGGTTAAAAATTAATTTTAAAACTTTTTTTGAAAAGTTTTGCCACTTAAGTAAAATGGTCACATATGCCATAATGACGTTTTATCTGACGTCACACTAGCGATATGATCAAATTGCATTGTCCATTAAAATTTCATGACTAGGTGGAATTTAGCTGATCATAAAAGAAGTAACGAAAAGAAACCTAAAAATTATCTAGATTTAAGATTATTTTCACCTTAAGACTAACTTTTTTCAAGGATTCTTTTCACGCTTGAAAACCCTAAAATAACCTCGATTTAAGGTTTTTATATCGAAGAATGTTTTCCAAGGTTTTGGATTAGGCTAATGTGCGTAGAATAGAGCAGATTGTCGCAGATCTTGTTCTAAGATTAGAAGGTTTACACGTGAACCGCAAAAAAAACCTTTTTAGGTTTACATTAAGAGGTTTTTGCTGAGTGTAAATAAAGCTTATTTTGCTATCCGGGAATTATTTCTGCATTCAAAAACTTAGGTACTACCTAAATGATTAATGTTTAATGTTTCGACTTTCTGTGTTTGTTTATTCAAACAAAATTGTTTCAAAATGTTTGCTTACCTTTCTTGTTGGTGGCTTTTGAAAAGGTAATTTCAGCCATGTCACATATAATATTCTTCTGAGAAATTATTTCTCCTGTCTAAAAAAATAAATCGAGAATATTTAGAGTTAGATAAAGAAGAGTTACGTTAAAGAACATATTAAGCAAAGTTTTAGTGAATTTCAGAAAATTAGACAATGAAGCTGCGAAGCTGCATTGGTGTAAGAAATTAAGACAATTTGCAGACTTGGTCGATTATCTCCAGTACTATTGGACCAATTTTAATGAAATTTGATATGTACATACACTGATACAATACAAAACAAATAACCATTCAACAATTGTAATACACACTCATGATCGTGCATAACACTCGTTGGAATCGGAAGGTGTGAAACAGCGGTTGCAGAATAAGAAGAAAAAAAACATTGATTGGTTTACATTGATTGCTTGTCAACATTGATTGCTTTACGAATAAAAGCTTGTTAATTTTTCCTTACTTGTGTTGTTCTATCGAAAAATACAAATTGCTTATTTTTAATTTTCTGATGTTCGGTTTTCAAACGAAGTAATTTGGATAACTTCATACTTTGGTTTAACTAACAAACTAAGCCATGGAGCAATTTGAATGTCTTCCTTTGTTTTTGAAATGAAGTAATTTGGATGGCTTTATACATTGGCTTCTAAGTGACGAAATAATTTGAATGGTTTCATACTTTGCTTTCTAAGTGGTGAAGTAAGTTGCATGATTTCATACTCTGGTTCCTAAGTGGCGGTGTAATTTGAATGGTTTCGTATTTATGTTTCCAAGGAGACGAAGTAATTTAGTTGAGCAAAGAGTACATCGTGGCTTATCATGTAATGAAGCCATCCTACATATTATAAATAATCATTGTTGTGCTGCATTCCTAATCTTTACCGGAAGAGGAACTTCTTTTTGTCAATTTTTTTTAACATTTTGAGCTGCGAGTTGAAGAATTTCGTTTTTTTTTCTGAACGTGGCATGTAATATAAGAGCAGAAAGCGAATTAAAAAGCTACTTGCAGCATCAAAATTCTATTGCAATTTTTCCGTTCTGATCTTATTCACGTGAAACCAGTGCTGACACAAATCTTTAAGACTTACAATGCCCTATAAGCATGTGAACCTACAATGCATGTAAACCTACAATAACGAGCATATACATAAAATTAATTTTTTCAGAACAGTCAAAAAGTGCTTTTATGAGTTTTAGAATCTTTTTCGACAGAATAAATCATCAACTTTATTTAAGGCAAAATCAAATTTGTCACATAGCTTTTATTTCAATAAAAAAAAATTTTGAAGTCGTTGGAAATTGCAATAAATAATACCTGGCGTTGGTGTTTTATTGTATTATAACTTAAAAAAGAACACTGTGCTTAAGGAAAAATCGAATTTTTTCTTAGGTTCTCTAAAAGCTTATTGTGCGCGTATTCTAAAATTTTACTTTATTAGTTCAGTGAGCAACTCACAATTGTATCAGAGACTGCTATGCAAATACATGTGTAAGTCTTTAGTCTCGCTTCTACACGAATTCACTTTTTTTCATACCTTCTTCATTTCATATCACTGGAATCTGATTAACTTCTTTACAAAACTATGCTGATTTTTATCTGATTATATATTTGAATTTGTCGTTTTCGAAAATTAAGTAGAATACTAAAGAAGTGTTCCCGAACACTTAGGAGTAAATAAATTTTGATAAGAATCAGATAAAAGTGCTTTTTTAAATTTTGCTGATCTTACCATGAGAGATTTTTAGAACTTAATTTTTGGAGAAAAGCCTACTTTGTAAAAGTCATTACCTTCTTACTTCGTTCAAACATCCTTTCTACGTCTTTTTCTGTCTCAAATATACATTCTTTATGGAAATCAATTATTCTTATTGATTTCATGAGACCTAAAAATAGCGAAGAAAAAGAAATCAATCAATTGATTTTACAATACAATGAATTAAATAGGGTTTGACAACAAAAAAAATAGCATATCCAAGTAGCAGTGAAGAATTTGCAACAGCGTGTAAGCAATGATCTTTATCACAAAATCCAGCAAAGCTTATAAATGAAAAGCAAATGAACCCTGCAAGCGTGAAGCAATGTGAAATTTAACTACGCTAGTTTACACGATAATGAGGCTCGCAATAATCTTAAGCAACAATCATTTTATATTGAGATAAAGTTTGCCTCTACAAAACAAAGCAACAAAAAAAAACGTCTGAAATCGACGATGAAACATGCAAATCGAGATCAATAAGCATTCTTAAACCAAGAGAAATTCCCCCTCTCAGGGATTCACTCTAAATTTTATGACCATCCCTGAAACAAGGTTCTTAGATACTTTCTTTAACACTTCAAAAGTGAAGGTTGGCCTGATTATCAAGTTTTCAATGAAAACAAAAAGCTGCATTTGAGAAGATAGGAAGAGATAGAATGAATAAAAATTGCAAAAACGAAGTTCATAGTAAAAGCTAAAAAAATAATTTCATGCCTTTGAGGAAACAAGCTTTCAAATATGTTTAAAAATGATTATTTTGTCAACCCTTATTCGCCAACCAAATGAAAATGAATATACAAACGTTTGCCGTAAGGCTGCTTACTAACTAGGACAGAGGTGGCGAACCTTTTTGCACCAACGTGCCAATTTTCTAAAAAAATTGTTCAATGTGGTCATAGACGTGCCATCAAATAATTTTGATTTCGTGATCAAGTATTAATACTAAATACTATCAACTCAAAACTCTTTATATACTATGGAGAGAGAGAAAAAATTTGCAATGTCTCAGTTATACGCATAATTCAGCTTAAAGTAACATCAGTGTGACTTCTGTTGTTGCAAATTAGATGACAAATAACTTAGATTAGATTGTATGTTAGTTTAAGCAGGACTGTTAAATTTTTTTGCTAGTTATTTATTGTTAGCTTGTTTTTTATGGTTATTAATTGGGTTTTTTTTGGCATTAATTGCTAATTTTTATTCGTGAATTTTAATTTAAGTGTTAATATGCTTCATAGTGAACTTTGTGATGATTGGCATGCCCAAAAGATCGTGTCGCGTGTCATAAATGGCACGCGTGCCATTGATTCGCCATCCCTGAACTAGGATAATATCCGCTTCTTTGACAATCCCAACATTTTAATTAATTAATTAATATCGCGCGAAAAATCGGGCTTAGAAGAGTTTGTTAGGTTGTTTTAATTTTTCTATTGATTTTACTCAGTAAAAGAAAATATTCCGCTTTAATAGGTAGTTTGAGAGTTTTATTTGTAAAGTTTTCGCTCTCACCTGTAAACAATTATAAATGCAACCTAATTTATTCTTGACCCGAAAAGTTCTCCTCAGAGAAATTTATTTCATTGTCAGTAGGTAATTATTTTCTAAGTTGAATATGAAAGCACAAAAAGTAAGGAGGCTAACGTCTATCTATCATAGAAAACTAGAAATTTTTTTTTCATGAAATTTATGTTTTGAAGCGAGAAATGAAGATGATTGCCAAAAAAATAATGGGAGTTGGGAAGTAATAGAAAAATAGTATCAAGAAATAAATGAATGCATGCATTAAAAATATTGAACATCTAACAAATACGAAAATTAATTCTTCTTGAGGATCTCTTTTTAACTGCCTGTGAAATGATTTTTCAAATTTTCCATTATTGATACGTATCATTCTAAAAAATGCATTATACTTTGATATAAATTTGACAAAATCGCATTATATTAGAAAACTGATCATTTATTAGATTAGACGGTATTATTTTATGAACAGTAACATAAAGAACATAAAAGAGAAACCGCTCTTTTGATATAATATTTAGCATGGTAATGATTTTTTTTTGTAACACATACACATCTCTTGGTACACGTACACATCACGACGCCGTTTGCTTGATAGCTCAATTTTCCGACAGGTTTGTTTGTCTGACAACTCAGCAAGAACTCCGGTCAACAAAAATTATAGAAAATCTTGACTGATTGTCAAGTATAGTTTCTCTCAAGATTGCATAATAATATGACTGAATAACTGAGAAGTTATCATAATCAAGTAGCGAAAAGTGAAATAAAAAAATATTTGAAAAACACAAAATAAATACGTAAATAAATGTATAAATAAAATAGAAAAATTAAAAAATAAATTTAAAAAAGTTTAAAAAAATGAATGGAATAAAATAAAAAATTCAAAAAAAGGAATTTTAAAAAGAAAAAGAATAAAAAATTAAACCATAAAATAGAGAAGAAAAAAAAAACATTTAATGCTGCTATGAATCTTGCAATCTTTGAATCTTTTACTAGAAAACAGAGGGAAATGTTACTATCCCCATAAACAGTCAATAAATTGCCCTTTAATTTTTTTGCCATAAGTAGCCCAGCACTATAGAAAAAGTAAGAAACATTTCACTTTCGTTGTAGAAAATCCATGCATATATTCTTACATTCTAAGCATACTCATACATCCATGCAGATTCTTACATTCTTCATGCATATTACCTTACGTTTGCACTGGTGGTCAAATGTGTAAGAAATTAAGAGAATTTGCAGACTCGGTTGATTATCTTTAGTACTACTGGATCGATTTTAATGAAATTTGATATGAACATTCATTGATACGATTTAAAACAAATAACCATAGAACAATTGTATTATACACGCATGATCGTGTGCAACACTCGTTGGAGTTGCACGATAAGAAACAACGATTGTAGAATAAACAAAAAAAAAGGGTTTATAGGGGTTATGATTCCCTCTAACAGATATACTATACAGGCCTTGCTGCGTGATTTCATACTTGAAATAAGGCAGTTTATCAATTCCTGAGGTAATTGGCCTGAATTGTCCTGTGGCAATTTCATACCTTCCGACTCCAACGATTGTTACGCATGATCATACGTGTGTATTACAATTGTTGAATTTTTATTTGTTTTGTATTGTATCATAACAGATCAAATTTCATTATAATCTGTCCAGTAGTTCTAGAGAAAATCAACCAAGTCTGCAAATTCTCTTAAGCTTTTACACCAGTGTTCTTGTCAAGCAAATGATCTATCAGGAAAACAAAGCTGAACATTTGGTTTGCCAGGCTCAAACTAATACTCAAACTCTACTCAAAGCTTCTTGCAGATTTCGAATCGGTTTAATTTTTTTTTAAAACGCTTCAGCAAAAATAGGCGCGTAACATAAAATTTTACAATTAGCGATTCGAAACTTAGTACATAAAATGAGATAATAATAGAATATAATAGAACATCTTTTATTTCCGAAGTAATTACCTTTGGCATCCATTTTGAAGCAACCTACATAGTTGACTGGAGTTCCTTCTTTGTCATATCCAATGAAGCCATATGAATAGTATTTTTGCAAGACCTGATAGAAATGTAAACTACAAAATGTTTAAATGTTTAGTTCTACACGTCTTCGGAAACTCGTAAATTTAATTTGCCGAAATTCAGTTTCAGAATGCTGAGACTTGTGGGTTAACTTTTAAAATCCAACGAAATTCACCAGTCATCAGAAGCTTTTTTTTTAATACTCAATAATTTACGGGTTAATAAATCCAACAATGTCATTACTTTAAAGAACTCTTAATATCGATTATAATAGTTTATGAACATAGAAGTCAATTATAAGATAAACAATTATAAAGTATTCTGTACCTAAACTTGGTTGTAACTGTTTATAGATTAGTATGGAACATCTCAACTCTAATTGCTCCAGGGGAGGGGGCTACATTGCCGCTTAATCCATGCTGCCATGACAGGCCAGAGGTACGTATAGGCAGAGGTATATATTGTATTTTTTTCTACATTCAAAGATCATTTAGCTTTTATAAATTTAATCATTTACTTATATTGATGCTGCACTTACGCTTATAAAGTGAATGAATTTCAATTTGCAAAACTCAGGGCGATGTAGAATATTTTAAAAACTTTGCACATTGTGTCGAAAGTCTAATTTCATTTAATTCTGTATAAATAAAATGTATAGCAATTTTCATTGAAATTTATTGAATTCCAACTGAAATCAGGGGAAAGGACATATTTTCTTTGTGAAGTCACAGGTCAACAAAATATTAAGCCCGTGATTTAATAATCTATCTTATTATATAAAACGCTAATACGTACGTATGTATCAATAAAACCGATGATATTTCGTTTCTCGCGTTGGCAACGGTTTTCATTTTTAATTTATAGGCTTCGGCGCGCAAGAGCACGTAGTGAGCATCATATGTCTAATCGGGTGAATTCTCGCAAGAGTTTAAAACAAAACTCAAAAGAGTTTAAAACAAAACTTACAACAGTTACTTTTCTCAACAACTGAAATCTAGAATAGTGTGATTAAGAAAAATATGTGAACTGTTTGCAATTTCAAATTAATATTGAAATGCACAGGTTTATAACTTCCTACAGTGAAAAGTGGTCGGAACTTCAGTGTTCAAAAAAGTATACAAAAGCTAGACGTTAAGAACGTATCCAATGAGCGAATAAAGCGAGCATCGGATTGCGAAGCAATCCGAAATGAACTGCGAATGCAGTTCCGGGGGTTGGCGAGCACCAGCGAGCAGGGGGCGAAGCCTCCTAGTAATAAATAAAAGCCTTTTTTTGTAATCTAATTTGCACAGTAGTTCTTTTTCTTAACATTAAACATACTGAATATAATTTAACTTTCTTTATTGTCCTATCGTAATTTGGCACCTATTTTTAGTAATTATTTTTACTTCAGATATTGAAAGTCATACTAACTTCAAATATATTTTCTGATAAAAAAAAATTAACTTACCTCTGGTGCTTTGAAATCTGTTAGAATAGTGTCTATTCCAAATTCTTTTCTCCATAAAATGTGCTAGAAAAATTCATTGCATTTCGACAAATGTTTTTAGGAAGAAAGAATTATGAAAATAATAATCATTTCTTTAGGTTCTGCATTTTTAAAAAAAAATTATTTTTGATGGTAACAGCATTTTTTATGGTTTTACATACATTTATTTATGAAATGTTAGTAATTTTGTGATCCAAACTATAATTATTTAAGTAGAGTTGAATGTGCAATTCAATGGTGCAAGTGTCGGAATCGATTATATCATTGATTGATTCACAAAATGGATGATATACGATACAGTTTTGATAAAATGGAAAGCGTTTATGGTTTAATTCTTTTATTATTTAACACTAGAAAGACGGAAAATTAGTATATACCTATATTGCCGAAAAGCAGTCAAAATGACTAGATTGTGAATACGTCAATAAATTTGTTTAAAATTAATTTTTAACATTTTTCATATTATTTACAGTTATTTAACAAGTTATTAGTAAATATTAATAATAAAAAAAATTATATGTTGTTCAAAAAGGCACAAAATTCTGAGAAATCATGTAATTGTATACATCATTGTTTTTCAAATTGAAATTAAAAGCAGTCAAAATGACTTCCTTAGGCAATCTAGTGTTAAAAACTTTCTCTAACGGTGCGTTATCTTGGCTCACAAAAAATTATAAGAACAGAGAATACGGTAGTGATTTTAATAATTTTCATATGGGTGGAATTTTTTCTCTCGCTACATTGGCAATTTTTCAAAAAATACTTAAAATATTTAAGTTATTTGTCCGTTCTAGAGCTTAGATAATTCTTTGCTATAAGATCATATATATATTTCAAAATCATTGCTTTACTTCAAGTGTAAGGCATTTACATTGTGTCGTTCTCCTTGTCGGCACAGAGCTTCGAAAAATTATGTTAAAATTTGTATCTGAAACTTTTAGAGGCGAGTACCGAAATACAAAATGGCATGAAGGAAACTGAAACATTTTTAAAATTGGTTTGTAATTGTCATTTTTAGAGAGGATATTAGACCAATCCAGGAAATAGTCGAACCTTCATAGATAAATTAAATCATCATATAATCTTCTAATACAAAATCAATGGGACAAAAAGTCTCAAATTATTATTTAAATGAGGAATAGAAAAAAAAACATTATCAAAATCTGATGATTTATTGTCTTAGACCAATGTCAGCGTGAAGTACAGTTAAAATCAACAATGACTGATTAATTTGTCAGATAAAATTGAAGGAGGCTCATTGCAATTTCATTTAAGCTACATTTCTCCAATTTTTCCAATATTCTATTATTTTCATATCCGAAGTGCTTCTGCACATTTGCGCATGCGCCTGGTCTGTTTTGATTTCATTAAAATTACGGTGAATGAGACAAAAAATGATGAGTTGCTCACTTCTTCTCATGGCTTATGCTCGTTTTTAAATTTCCAAAAGTGCACATCTCAGAGCGTCACCCCTACTCGAAATAGAATCGTCCCGGACTAATAGTTTTTGCTTGCGAAAATGAACAGTAATTGCAATGTTTTAAATCTATATTTGTGGTATTATTGATTACGATAATTGACTTCGATGTTAGTTTTTATCTCATTACCTAAATATTAAACGTATTCTTTAAAAATAATAATTTTATTTTTTGAAAAAAGGATAAATGAATTGTGGAAAATTTGAAACACTGTTGATAATCAACTTTCAACAAAATATTTCGGAAACACTAATCAGAGGAATTAGAGGGAAAAAAACTTACTTTCCGAAGCATTGCTTCTGCATTCTTTAAGTTGAAATTTCGTGCTTTAAAAATGAAAAAAAAATGTATTGTTGCACAGTAAATCAAATTTTATATTTTAATATTTTTTGTTGTACATAAATTTATCAAAGTACATATTTAACAACTATTTAAATTTGAATCTCCAAAACGGTAGTTGATATTTAATATCCGGAGAACATTTCGATTACAGTTGCAGCTAACTAGAAGTTTTAGCTCTGCGCTATATTTAAGGTAACAGTGATGTCACAAATATTTTCATGCACTTAAAAACATGAAAGTGCAGTCATTAATTCTTTTGTGCAAAGATCTGAATGATTTAAAGCCGTTGTGGAAAATGCAAAAACTACTTCTCCCATATCATAGAAAGCTTACTGAAGAGCTATTTTAGCATTAAATAATAGTCAAAGTCAATTTAAATTTCAAGTTAAAATTGAATTGGAAATAGAGACTTCTGATCTTAAAGAAATGTGTATCTGTTAGAATAATGTACAAATGCTGCAAAAAGAGAGAGGAAAAAAAAGAAAAATTTTGGAGTTAGGATATTTTAATTTATACAGGAAAAAAATCCCGGTTCTCAGGTATAAAGATTTGTGACTTCTACGTTAAATGATAATACTTATTTTTCAACAATTTTATGTATTTGCATTAAAATAAAAATTCAGTTTCTCTTGTTAGAATACATAAATTACCTTTTAAAAATCGATAAAACAAGCTAGGATCTTCCAGCATTTTCGACGTACAATCCATTACAGTTCGTTTCCTTAACTATAAGAAATATTATTTATAATATATATATTTATCTATGATAATAATAAATGAAATGTTTTATAACACTTCAGCTTACTTCCTCGATTGCTTCTTTCTCTTCCAACGGAATTTCGTCTAGCCAGGTCATTCGAATTTAAAATATATATACCTAGTTAAAAAAGTTGGTATAATTTATTAAACTTTGATTTAAATTATGTTCCCCAAGAAATATTTTAAGAAAATAGCATTGAAAATAAATAAGATCAAAGAAGAAATATTTATTACCATGTTTGATCGTTCATCTGTATATCTACTATCACAGGTTCAAACACTCTCTTTAAACTTTTGAGTAAATATCACCATTTATAAAAAAAGTGTTTGATTTCTAAAAATGATTGTAAGAGTCCTAAAATGATTGTAGACTTCTAAAAATGATTGTAAGATCGTAAGGAGCAAGAGTCTACATGTTTACGCTGAACAAACATTTTATACTGCAAAATTATTTTTTTCATATCGAAGCAAATTTATGGCTATAAAATCCATTCGAAAATTTCTGTCAGTTAGTAAGGGAGGAAATTTTTCAAAGATCAATTAGAATTTCTCGTGAGTTTTTTCTTTCAATTTTCAATTTCATTGTTAAAAATAGGGTACAATTGGGTATTTGCAACTAATCATAGGGTTATGTTTAACCCTGTCGTTATGCATGGCATGTTAACGTTACAAAGTCTAGACTCGAGTTTATTATTGCGCTGAATCAATTTTTGGATCAGATTTAATTGGATAACTTCAAGCGTCGAGCCTGATTAGAAGACCCATACAGGACGCCGTTCGTAGGTATCCAACTGTATAAAAAAATTCAATATTTGCTAGATTGCTGCTCTTATTAAACAAAAATAGAGTATATTACTTTTTTCTATAATTAGACACTTCCGAGTGACCTCAATGTGTGCATCGATCCTGATTGGTTGTTGAAAGGTGACATTTGTTTATGTTAGCAACTATTCTGTCGGCTGGGATAGCCTGGTTGGCAGGGTGTTTGGCCCATGTCCAATAAATCGTGAGTTTGATCCCAGCCATCCCCAGACTCCCAGTATAGTAAATGGTGACTGGCGCATGTTAAATATGTTGAGTTACAGTTCTCCTTTTTAAATCAATACCTTTGGGTGCACTAAATTGGAGATTGGCAGTTCTTTGGTTCAGGTCAAAATTACGATCTGTCAATGAATGAATGAATGAATGGATGAATGACTAGGTTGGCCCTTTAATATGGGCTGTGACACGCATGCTTGGTTGAAGTCATAATTTTGGCCATAGATGGCGCCACTGAAAAACAAGAAACGCACTGCCTGCCTCAAAATCACTGAGATTCTCCAAGCAGGCTTACTGGTATTTGACAAGTGGCATTAGAAACAACCACACTGTTCCGTCCACTTTATTTCGAGTAATCCTATATCTAGCAAGTCTTTGTCGAGTAGCTAATTAAATATGAATTTACATGACTTATTATTCTTTCATAAGAAATATTTGAAATATTTCTTACTTAACACAAAGACAGGCAAGAAGCCCTGTGCGACATAAACAAACTAACAATGTAGCAAAGTTGCCAGGTACACGAAACGAGAAATGATCACGATTACAATAAAATATGTAAACAAATAATAAATCAATTTAAATAGAAAGCGCAGACAAGATGGAATTATATTTCAATAAATTTGATATGAGATACGGCATTGTATTTAATTAATTTCAAGTTAATTAACATTCTAACTTATGTGAAGAAACTTAGCTCGACATTGGTTAGAACAATATCCAGAAAACTAACACTCCTTCTTGTTTATAAACTACCAGTAAGTGCTGAGGCATAGCTTAGGTGTATGTGTTTCAGTGATCTTCTAAGTGAGTTGCAAGTGCCCAATTATTTGTGTTTGTTTTATTATTTCTGATAGATCAAACGAAATGTGCGTGAAATGACGTCACTGAAATCATTATTTGAAAACCACGAGTTTATTTTATTTATAGTTACGCTTTTTAAACATATCTCTACAAACCTTCAAAATTAAAATTAAACGTTAAAATAAAACGAAAGTTATTTGCTTAAGTGCAAATTCATGGAGAAAATTGCTTGATTGTGATAGATTTAAACGATCATCTGTAGTCCACTATCAGTAAGCAAACATTACTATTTTCAATGACAAATAATATTGAGTATAGTTAATCTTTATTTTGATGAATTGGAATTGCCAAATAATGGTAAAAAAATGTATTCACTGCTTTGATGAAAAGCGAGTTTTGGAATTCTACTAGGAAAAGTTTCATAACGATATCATAGAATTATACCACAATATTGTCAGATAATCACAAAATTGTACCATAAAACCTATATTTTTCGTATCACAATGTTTTTCTACGGTGTCTACTTTAAAATTGATGCTAAAGATTTAATAAGTATTTGCCTGCACACTGTAAATTACTAAAAATACTTTTAAAAAATGTAATAAATTGTCCAAAAATGAGTTTCAACGTAGTATTTAAGAACTAACATTTTAACAATCGATTTCATATGCAGTATCTTTTTTAAAATTGATTTGATATCGAGCAGTAAATTGTCAATAATCATCAGTTAAAAGTATAATATCTTTTTAAAAAAAGTAAGAAGAGAATTTCTGAAAATCGTACCTTGATGTCTAATTATTTAGGAATTTTTTCATACAGTACTCACCTTAAAACTGGTCTTATTTATTTTGCTTTCGAGTATAGACTTATTTTTTGAGCATTGAGTAAGTGAGTTATTTTTTACAAAATTGAGTAACATTTAACTTTACAAGAAGTGTTTTAAAAATCAATATCTCGAACTTATACCATGAGATTAAGATTATTCGAAAATAAATAGTAATACTCGAACATAAATTATCCGAACATAAATTCGAACGAAAATAAATTTAGAACAATGGCACTGGTAAGAAGTATTTAAGAAGAATATTAAAAGAAAGAAATATGTATAATAAAATTACTTACGTAATGCGAAAATTTTCTTTTTTTGAATGGAATATTTTCTATGAAAGTGCCACTGTGAAGTATGAAAAATCTTTCTTTAAACAGCTGTAGTGCCAAACCAATGCATGCTATTGTTCAAGCAGCGTGAGTATCGCATAAAAATTGTACTACCCAAATATACTTTAAATATAAGCCTTGAGCAATATTTCATGACCTGAATATTGAACGTAAAAGTTGAAATCTTGGAATTTTTAAGACTTCTACTTAAAAATATAAATTAATTATTTATATATGCTTAAATGATAAAACAATATTCGCACTAAAGCAAGAAAATTTCAACATTCATAGTTACTAAATTTTGATTCAAAACTTAAAAAATTAAAAAAAAAGTATTTTAACTCATTTTTTACTATTTTTTTTTTTGGTACTGATTATTTTTTCTAGGTGAAATACATTATTTCTCGACGAAAATCAGAAGCTTTGTAAATTAAATTGTAAATTGTAAATTTTAAGCCATCGTGCAACGACGAGCATTTTAAAATCCCAGAAATAATATTTCTATGTAGCACTGAAACGGGGGAAAATCCCATTCGGGAGTTGTTTGTCCCAGTAAAAAAATAAAATAAATTTAAAAAAATATTTCTAATTATCATTATTAATTGCCAGTGCATGATTAATTAACCCTTTACTTGCAATTTACTATGTTGTACCAGCACATGTGGTTCGCATGTTGTGCCAACCGTAATCAAAAGGCAACAGGCTGTGTTGAGGACGAGTTAACTCGTTCCTATCACACTAGGAATATTCCCTGAAGACGAGTTATCTCGTCTGTGGCGATGAACACGTTAAAGTTTCGATGGATTTTATATTCACACTATCTATAACTTATAAATTGTATTGAGATTAGTGCTGAATTATGGTCTTGCTACATTTATTAAAATGTATATGCATAATTTCCCAAGTAGCAAAACGATATTATCTAACATTAGAAAGATGTAATATAATACTGCCATGCTAGAAAACGCTAGACTCCTGAATCCTAAATTCCAATATTGGAACTAATATTATATAAGATTAAATAGTGTTTAATCTAACATTCGAACTTACAAAATTATCATCTATTTCATCACTTTCAGTCCAGTGCCATTTTTTGTGCAAAGGTATCCCATATTATTAATAAATAAACATTTATTTCGTTCATAAATAAACATATATTTATGAACGAAAACGATAAATTAAATATTCCTTAAAATATCCTTTTTAGCCAAAGCCATTTTAAGCCAGAAAATGAAAGAAAATGTTAGTGGAAAAAAAATTGTGTTCACGAATGATATAAAACTGGAAAAACTTTTTCAACTGTTGAGTTGTAACTTCTTTACGATTGCTAACATCATCATATTGTTCGTGTCGGCAGTTAGAATGAATGAATCGTTTTAACATCGTAAGGTATTTATGATTCAGTAATTTTTAGTAACTGCTAGTAAACTTTATAAATTTCAATGATAGTTACATAAAACAATACAACAGAATTGTAGTAGTGTTTTTCCCTTAGATAAAAATCAACTTCAAAAGTAAAATAAAACACAATGTGCTAGAGTGGATGATGTTGTAGAAGCATTCATTTTACTTAATAATCTTGACCACTTACAAACAAATCTTGACCACTTAAAACACAAAACATTTAAGAATTAATTTAATGATCATGTATCTAATAAAGTCAGTTATGAATTGTTATCATTATTGACAATGAGCAGTTCGCTCGTAGTAGTTGACTTCTCTGTTAAAATGTATTGTCGAACTATAAATAATTAGCTCAGAATATGCTTGTAAAACAACGTTTGCATAATTATTCATCTGTGACAGAATTTTTCTCCAAAAATTAAAAAGATGAAAAATAATTGTCTGTAAACAAATTCGCCATGTTGAAACAATTAAAAATTAATAATCTGCTACTTTTAGCTCAGTTCAAACCAATATATTGTAGAATGTTCAATGTTTAATCTAAACAATATTGTTAAAATTTCATGTTCAAAGTATTGTAAAACAATGAATTAAAAAAAATTTTATATAAATTTTTTGAATATCGACATCTGTATGTTTCTGATGCATCATTATTTACATTAAATTGTAAATGAATAAAAAATAAACAATAATATATGGTCTACTCAATATGGT